CCAAAGTCTTCCTCTTACTTCTGTAACATCACCAGCTTTGGGTTATGTAGGAGAGCCCAAGCTAGTTTTTCCAAATGAAAAGCCATTGAATTTTAAATTTGCAAATATTACAACAAGGGGGCAAGACGACATAATTTGCACAGCCATGCTCAGTTTGTTTTTCACTTCAAGCGTTGCTTTAAAAAAAAAAGGACTCATATTAAACTGAGTTTACTTTATGACTTAGTTTCTAATAGACGGTTCATGGCTAATCATTACCATATTATTTCTGCTATCATGACAATATTGTACAATTTACTATCAACTAAAAGTAGCCAGATGGCTTGATGAATGTTTAGAAAGTTAATACTTGGTCTTGCAAGATAATATTGTAGCAGGTAGTTAAATGCCAGAGGTTAAGTGGCAATTCTATTTAGATGTTAAACAACTAACTAAGAAGTAGTATTAGTTGTATAATTGCAAAGATTGAGAGCAGAAAACCAAAACATATGTATCTCTTTTTAAAATGCCCCAAATCCCAGCATTATCTATTATAAACTCATTGTATAGAGAGAAGCTATAATAAATCAAAATAATCTTTATTTATTATGATAGTAAACCTTAAAAACTGTATTCTGAATAAAAGCTGATATAACAAATAAGGCAACATGAAATATTAACTATGGAATGTTTGAGACACTTTGCTTAAAATATCTTTATTATGAATCACTTTATTCCTAAGTATAAAAGTATATGCAGGAATTGTAGCATCCTAAGATTAATATCCTTGCAGATGTGATTTCCATCAGTCAAAAGCTTAGAGACAATTTTAAATCTATAAATGTACATAAACTTACTATGATAATAAAAGTATTACAGTTACTACAATGATAAAAAATTTCATTCTATGTAGTCAGGCCTTCCCTATGAATTTTCAGTTGCTTCCCAGCTATTATACTGATTAGAAATAAAATTTTCATTTTAATGCTACTTTAGAGAAGCAAATTGTAAAAGCAAGTCAGATTTGAAAATCATTTACCACATTTCAGTGACAAACACACAGGGCTTTTGGATCACTCTTGATTTTGTCTTACATGTTCATTACTCTTCACATTCTATTTAACCAATAATTGGTTAAATTATTAACAACTTGTGCTGTCTTAAAACTGGTGAACAGAGGTTTCTTAAATGGCCATCAGTGAAAATTATTCAATCTGTTAGAAGATAATATGAATATAGGAATAAAATCAGCCCTGAAACCATATTTAATAGCTATGATTTCATTTATATTTTGTGCCTTTTTAAAATTGTTGTGATTCAAGTGCCTCAAAAGGATGAACAAATAGAAATATAATACTACCTGCATCTAGTATATATTCATGAAAGATTAATGGGGGATTAATAAGACTTGGAGTTCTTGACTTACCTATGCTAACCTTAAGGTTACCAATCCTCCCCTTGTACTGTCTCTGTTGCTTCTTCACTGATTTCGTATTAACTAATTACATCATTCAGTTGATGCAATCCTGAATGATATCTAATTGCTGTTCACATCGATTTAAAAGTTTTAGACAAGGGCGTATTCAGGATAGTAGAATAGATGGCTTAAGTGTTAAAAGCATGGGACAAGGATAATTTTTTTCTCTTTTACTTCCAATGAATAAATAACTGTTTAGTTTGATGTAAATCAAATACAAGAAAAAACATTGACTTTGTACAATTTCAGTTTATGTTTAAAGTTCTTAGAGTTCAAGAGCTTGTCTATTATTCTTTGTAATTACAGTTACATGGCTTCATTAAGTGTTTTCTATACAGGTCTTGCCTAAATATCTTTGGCCCCTTTTGAATATCTACATTATTGATGTCTCTCAGCAGTGCTTCTTAAATATTAATGTGCATACAAATCACCTGAGGATCTTATGAAAATACAGATTCTATTTCTCTAGATCTGGGGTAGGACCTGTGATTCTGCATTTTTAAACTTACTAAGCGATGCTTTTGTTGCTGGTCCAAGGGCCACAGTTTAAATAGGAAGGTCCTTCAACACTTACAGATGAATGACATTATTTTCCTTTCATGTTGTTTACCCATTGTTTTGTATCAATTAAAAATATCTCCCAATAGAGATAGCAAATAGTTTATCTTAAAATTTAAAAAAATTGCTTTAAAAATATTTCTGCATCAACTATATTAAAAGTCCTGAGCATGTAATATTTGCTTAATAAAATTTCTGGACATTTAAAAAAAAATCTGCAAAATTTATTTATTCATTTAACCATTTAATTCTATCTAAAGCTAGAGTGTAAAGACAGATAGGGCCTAAAAAAATTTACATAGTAGAAAAGAAAACTTCACTCTTCGTTTTAACCAGTTTTAGTGTTATGTATGTATAAGCATAGAATAGCTGTATTAAAGTTATTGGTCATATATGGACTATAAATAGAATAAAATACAAAAACAAAAATGCCCTATGTAGTTAATATTCATATTTGAAAATAGAGAATATTTTGTTTCTAATAAAAAGGTCTAACATATTTTCAACTTACTTTCTTTTACTGCAAAAAAAGAGGGGTCTTTGTCTAACTTACAGTCTGCAGTTTAAACCAAAGGAGTTAAGCAGGTTATCAAATGCTTTTTGGCTGTACTAGTAATTCAAAAATTACCCCACTGTTGATAATGCAATAAAGCAGACACGTGCTTCTAGTTGTCCTCATGTTATCCTTAACTTTCTTATTAACACCATACCAGCAGAAGCAGCAGAACAATTTCAGGAATAAGAGGAAAGTAAGTTAATCTGGGTAAAAATAAAGAGCCTAATAGTAGAGGAGTAAAATACTTGGGAAAGATTATAAAATGATGAAAAATGAATATAAGGACATTTAAAAGATTATGTTGAATAAAAATATATAACCAGCAAGATCCGATGAAAACAAACTTTCTAGGAGCTAAAAAATAAAACTAATCCAACTGAAAAAATTACTTTTAAAAAGTAACTTTCTATTTTGAGATGAATTATAAGCTGTTAAAAACTGGTATCCAAGAGAACATGCAAATAAAATAGAAAGGATTTTAGTGTTTGGTTTATTATTGTATTATTGGTTTATGTATGGAATTGAGATTTTACCTATTTTTCTGAAGCTTGTTTTTCCCATTAACAGAAACCTATTTCCATGTAGTCCTTCTTATATTTATGGCAGTAACTTAATGAATCTCTTTAATGTTCAAATAAAGCATATTTGAAGTATTGCCTATTTTTAAAATAGTAGACTGGTACTCAATTGGCAATCATTAACACATTTGTTTTTTACTGTTTTGTGAGTATTTCTGTTTGACAAATAACTTGAAGGAGAATATTAATATTAGTTTGCTTAGGCTGCCATAACAAGGAACCAGACTGGGTAGCTAAAATAAAAGAAACATGTTTTATAAATAAGGGGATTAGGAGGTACAAACTTTCAGTTATAAAATAAGCAAGTCATGGGATGTAAAGTACCACACAGGAAATACAGTCAATAACATTTTAATAACTTTGAATGGTAACAGATGGCAACTATACTTATTGTAGAGCATTTCATAATGTATACAAAAGTAGAATCACACTTGTTGCACACCTGAAACTAACAAAATAGTGTATATCAGACTATACTTCAATTAAAAATAGATTTAAAATAAACAAAAAAGGCAAACTCCTAAAAAACAAAATAAGTATTGCTCACAACTCTGTAGTCCAGAAGTCCAAGAACATGTTCTGTGCTGTGTTACCTCCAGCATAAAGTCTAATCTTCTTTACTTTGTAGCAGACAAAAATTCTAATGTTTAATTGACATAAAAGAGAAAGTGAATGATCAAATGCTTCAAAAATATGACAAAAATTTTTATCCCATCCAGAAGTTTTTTTCCACTCCCTCTCATCTCTGCTTTTTTAAGTAGTCATTCACTTTCACTTTTATGTCAATTAAACATTAGAATTTTTGTCTGCTACAAAAATGTAAGATTAAATGTAGACACATGGCTTGTTTAGAATGCAGAAGAATGTAGAAAGAAGCCCTGTAACTATGAACCCAGTACAACTTGGGAAATTATTTTAACAAAATAACTTTCTATTTTTGAAATGAGTTGTAAACTATGGTAGTGTTAACAACTGTGATGACTGCTCACACACTCCAGCAATCCCTACTTGCTACTGAAATATTTTTTCCTCATGGTTTATCACCTTGAATGCTGGATTTCATCTAAATTGTATCACTCCCCAAATGACTGACAGTCATTGTAGTTCTACCGGGTGTAACTGAAGATAGCAAATATTTTAATGCCTGGATATTAATATTAATTTAAATTTCCAGGGGTGTTCATACATCAAAGAAAGTAATCCTGAAAGCTCATATATTTAATTCCAGGGGACTCTGAAAATGGTATGGGAAATTTTTTCAATTCTATGGCTTTGGAGCATTTCCACAAATGTGATGAAATGTGGTGTGTGTGCACATGTGCACCATGTCTATGTATAGCCAACTATGTTAAGGTCATTTATTTCAGGAAATGGTAAGGACTGAATTGAATAGAACATTAATAGGAATTTTATTAATTGTAAGTAATTTCCCCCACACTAATTCTCAATTGGTGCTGATATTAATTTAGACTAAGGAACAACTAGTCTTCAGGAGGCAAGCTCTTCTTAAGTAAACAAGTACAAGTCATCTGGTATCACATAGAAAAATGATCTTTAACAATGACAGGACACTGAAGAAAATAATTAACAAGCATCTTTCCTATCAAGTTATATAAAAAATTTAATATCACAATATAGATGTAAATGAAAATGTAAAATATACAGTTTCTTTGTAAAAACAGAGAAAATGAATCCACCAAACATATCCCTTGAAACAGATTAGGAGAACGGAGTTTCAAAAATTGACATAGATGGGGGGGGTCCTGCGGCTCTGAGGAAACGAGCGAGGAGCCTCAGCATGTCGGAGAAAATATTTCCTGGGCACCTACTGTGTCCTGAGACCTGCTGTCACGGCTCCTCTGATCTTTGCCATCACCATCGCTACAATAGGGTCTTTCCAGTTTGGCTACAACACAGGAATCATCAATGCTCCTGAGATGATCATAAAGGACTTTCTCAATTACACTTTGGAAGGTAAGTTCTCAAAGCCTCCCACTGAGGTGTTACTCACGTCCCTCTGGTCCTTGTCTGTGGCCATCTTCTCCGTTGGTGGTATGATGGGCTCCTTTTCCGTTGGACTCTTTGTCAACTGCTTTGGCAGGCGCAATTCAATGCTTATTGTCAACCTATTGGCCGTCACTGGGGGGTGCCTTCTGGGCTTCTGCAAATTAGCGGCATCGGTTGAAATGCTGATCATAGGCCGATTGATTATCGGCCTTTTCTGCGGACTGTGCACAGGTTTTGTGCCCATATACATTGGAGAGATATCGCCCACTGCCCTACGGGGAGCCTTTGGTACTCTCAGCCAGCTGGGAATCGTCATTGGGATTCTGGTGGCCCAGATCTTTGGTCTGAAAGTTATCTTGGGGACTGAAGAGCTTTGGCCTTAGTTGCTGGGCTTCACCATCATTCCAGCAGTCCTACAAAGTGCGGCCCTTCCATTCTGCCCTGAAAGTCCTTGTTTCCTGCTCATTAACAGAAAGGAAGAGGACAACGTGAAGAAGATCCTGCAGCGGTTGTGGGGCACCCAGGATGTGGCTCAGGACATCCAGGAGATGAAAGACGAGAGCGTGAGGATGGCACAAGAAAAGCAGGTCACGGTGCTGGAGTTCTTCAGGGCCCCCAGCTACCACCAGCCGATTATCATCTCCCTCATGCTGCAGCTGTCCCAGCAGCTGTCCGGAATCAACACCGTGTTCTATTACTCAACAGGAATCTTTGAAGATGCAGGTGTTGAGGAGCCAATCTATGCCACCACTGGTGCAGGTGTCGTCAATACTGTCTTCACTGTAGTTTCTGTGTTCCTGGTGGAACAGGCAGGGAGAAGGACCCTCCACCTGATTGGCCTTGGAAGGATGGCTCTTTGTTCCATCCTCATGACCATTTCTTTGTTGTTAAAGGATAACTATACTTGGATGAGCTTCGTGTGTATCGCTGCCATCTTGGTCTTTGTGGCCTTCTTTGAAATTGGCCCAGGCCCCATTCCCTGGTTTATTGTGGCCGAGCTTTTCAGCCAGGGACCCCGCCCAACCGCCATGGCAGTGGCTGGTTGTTCCAACTGGACCTCCAACTTTTTGGTCGGACTGCTGTTCCCCTCAGCCGCATTCTACTTAGGACCCTATGTTTTCATTATCTTCTCTGCCTTCCTTGTCATCTTCTGGATCTTCACCTTCTTCAAAGTCCCTAAGACCCGTGGCAGGACTTTTGAGGAAATTACCCGAGCCTTTGAAGGGCAGTCCCATGAGAGGCCCCACGAGAAAGGCCCCGTGGTAGAGATGAACAGCATCCCGCCTGTGAAGGAGGAGAGCACCACCGCCGTCTAGGTGCCCCGCATCCTGCCTCCCTCCCCATAGGCAAAAGCAACCTCTCCCTGCCTGAGGGAGAGGCCTCATCAGGTGGTAACCCAGGACTGTCTCTGAATGCAGCTACTTGTTTCCTTTCTCGTCCCTCACACTCCGCAAGCACTCACAGGAACCCGAGGCTGGGGCTAGTCACATCCTCGACAGCTTTTTAAACATTTCCTTTCTTGGACATTCTCTTCTGTTCAAGAGAGACCAAGTGAGCCTGCCTTCATTTCAGAAGGAACTGACCCCTTGGTGGACGACAGCTTTGCCAGCTCTCCCTCCCTTGGGTTCCAGTACCGCCTGGCCAGGGCATATGGGGAGGAAGAGTAAGGGTGCAGCTCCCCTGCCTCGCTTGCCAGGAAGCAGACGTACAGGAGCGTGGGGGGCTGAGAGGAATTCAATAAGCACCTTCCTCACTTCCATACAGCTCTGCAGAGCAAATTAACTTGAGTTTTATTTATTTTATTTCTGGTTTTATTGCATAAATATTTATTTTTTTAAGTGTAAAGTAATTTTACCAAATAACAAAAGCATAAGGAAATCGAGGTTAGAGGGAGGCGCCTCAAGAGAGTTTGTGGGGGGAGAGGCTAAGGTGCAATAAGGGAGGAATTTAGGGGGAAATGACGAGTTATTGGAGGATGTGTGGAGTTTGCATGTTGCCTCTCAACAGCTTCTGTTCTTCAGATGGAAATTCTCAAGTGTGATTCCTCAGAAAAGTTATGTGCCTGTATAAAGAAGCTACTGGTTTCCTTTGGAGATTTTTTCTTTGTTTAAGGCTATATGTAGTATTACTTGAAAACTATGGTTATTACAAAGATGGAATTGTAGTTACTGATGGTTGATGGGTTCTAATTTTGGGTGGGGTCCAGAGTAGGGAAGGTTGTTTCTAGAAATCCTCTCTCCCCTCCCTGCACCAAACACTTCCCTTTGTAGTGGACTCACTTGTTCGGGTTTTTTTTGTTAGTTAGTTTGTTTTTAAGTATTCCTACCACTCACCTGGAGAGAGAGCCCTCTAAAAGAGCAACCTAAAATAATGGTTCTTGGTAGAGGTTCGTTATGTCTCCATTTTGTTCTTCAGGAGATTTTAGCTTTTAATTTTATTTTAAGCCGTAGCTCTAAAAGAGAATGTTCATAGCTAACTTGGATTTTGTAACCTCAGCTCTGGGAGAGGATTTTTCCTGACCATTAGTACTTAGTTGAAATATGTTGTTGCTTTAGGGTCATTGCATGCTTGTTTGTGTCTGAAGTTACCCTTGCTAGGTTCCTTCCGTGGTGTTCTGTCAATGCCCTCAGGGGACTTCATCTTTCCCATAGGCCACCCTTGGGATAGGAGGAGGACCTGCCATGTAGCCCACACTTGAGAGAGTATGAATGTCTGTGCACTGACACTTTGCTCTGGGTGGAGGGAGTTTCCTGGTAACTTGTTTCTTCCATGCTCCTACAGCCCCCTTTTGGACAGAAGGCGGTAGAACTGTGTAACTAGCACTGCCTCTGCTGGGTGGGCTTTGCATCTGTGGTTTCCTTCCGCACTTCAGTGTGGGGTCCCCCGGGCTCCCGGCCTTGCTGCAGAACTCCTTAAGTCTGGAGGTGAGGGGCGGAGGACTGCTCGCTCTAGACTCAGATGGTGGGAGTAGGAAGGAAGGTGAGGTCAGGGCTGTGGCCTCCTGGGGGCGCCACCCAGCTTCGAGGGAAGAGCACACTTACGGGGATGAGAAACACTGAAGACATCCAGCTCAGGGGCCATTCAGAGAGTTGGATGAGATGGAAGGACTCATGCTCGTCATGGGTCAGACACCTCCACAGGCATCTCATTCCCCAGTATTTCTGTTAAGACGATGGGACCCGATGACACTTTTTCCTCTCTTCCCCTTTTCCTGTCTTGCCTGATCCCCCTTCCCTCCTTGGTGCTTAGCCATTTCCAGCCCGTTAGCCCAGAGCCTTGCCTACAACAGTATTTTAGTGCTAATCCTCACCTCTGGTCATTTAGCCTTTGGGTGAAAAGGGCAGGGGGACTTTGTTGGAACGGGGTGCCTTTTCCTGTGACTGTACCTCTACTTCTGGTTCCTCAGGAACTGGGTTGGCAGGCATGCAGCGTGGAAGTTTTCCCATTTCTCAGTGAATATTTCCAAGTGGATTTTCTATTATTATTGTTAACTGTGGTTCTTTGTTTTGAAATAAAAATTCTGAATGTAAAAAAAAAAAAAAATTGACATAGATGGATTCCTAGGAGCACAAACTGACAAGTACCTCCTTCAGATTATTTTAAAGCAGAATCATCTGATTTCAATTCTCTTTTCAACACCAGAATTTATCAGTTAATCACTTCAGATCCTCCCCATCACTTCCTCCAGGAGAATACTAATTTCCACTAAAAGTAAAATCAGCAGGGAAAAGGATGCAATCGTCTCCAAAAGAAGCACCTGTCGACCTTTCTACATACTGTCTTTGAAAAGAAATGCAAGTGATGCCAGAAATTTTATTTTACAGTAGTATGTTCAAAAAATCCTGGTCTTTTTTTTGATCACTTAGAACCAAATTTCTCAATAAATATTAGTTACAATTAATAAAAATCAACATTTTCCAGAATTAAGTATCAGGCAAGAGAGGAATTAAAGAAAACAGCACCTTTAGTTGTATAAATACATAATTTTTCAATAGTAGAAAATGATCAGAGAAAATCAGGATGGTAAAACAGAATAATATTTCTTTTTTTACCATTCCCTACCACACACATGAATTCTGGAAATCAAATAATATTCTTAGTAGCTAACCAGACCTTCATTCAGTGTTTAATAATGTCTGTGTATTTATTTAGAAATCGTTTAATTTGTTAATTAAAATGATATCTCAAAGCAAAGAAACCTGATGATGTTATTAGGTAGCTAAACTGATTTTGAAACACTGGAAATTGTTTAGTGAGTATCACAGGATATCCAGTTTGGGAAATGATGAATTAAGTAGGTTACTTTTAAAAAAGGAGACTGAGAGCAGGAAAGTATTTTAAGTGCCCAGGTAATTTTCAGTATTTTTATGAAGAGCAATATATGTTTTGAAATTCAGTAGTGCTATATTAAATATAATAGTAACTATTTCATGTTATTACTTAAACAGTAAGCATACAGTAAATATGATAGAACTCTTGGGTCATGTTCATTATGATATTAAAATTAAATTCACAGTGAGGGAAATGTAACAACTATTTTAAGACTTTTTAATAGAAAAAAAGTATAAGTATCTAAATCATTTTTATTTACAGATTGTGTAATACCTCAAAGAGCAAACAATATTTTCAATGCATTCCTTATAAACTTTTTGTAAGCACAAAACTCACAACTTAAAAAGGATTCCTAGTATGACAATGTGAGGAGTTCCATGGACTTGCTTTCCAGCAAAATTAGTGAATATAATCAAAAATAAAATTCTAACCATTAAAGTGTCTGGAAATGGTCCTAAGGGCATACAGGAAATGAAGAAATATTTGTTCAAGAAGTCTATCAGGACTTGGTAAGAACAGTAAGTCTGTAATTTTTAAACCAAAACTCTCTCTGTTTCTCCTCTCTCAGGTCAGTGAGACAGAAACTCCAACTGCAGACTGCACAGCTGAGGGCAGAGGCTCCCACACCAGCTAAGGCTCCCGGTGGGAAGGCTATGCTCCCAGGAGAGGCTGGGCATCAGACAGGCTCCTCATGCTGCCCCAAGCCACGTGTTACTGAGGTAAAGTTCGGAGGGGTTGTCTTCTCCCGCCCATGCCCCACTTTTGATATGAAGGTTCTACCCTGTGCATGACAGCACATACTAGACCCTTGTTCATTCTTGACTTGGCCTGGGGAGCAGACATTCCAGACCAGGAGTGGGAAGCCAAGGCGACCTGGGACTGTTGTCCTCCAACAAAATGTTCAGTTCCTAAACTGGAGGTATCACTGAAATCGTACCAAATCATTGTCACACCAGAGTCATGTTTCAAAGATTTTTGCTCAGGGAAGAAGCCAGCCATAGTTCAGACAGTTACTAATCTCTTTTCAAAGGAAGTGACTTAATTTGTAACAGAGTTTGGAGAAGTTTAAATCTAAGGGCATTTAAAAAACAGTGGAGACAGAAAGACAATTGGGATGAGATAGATTCATTGAAGATCTAGCCTAACTGTAGGTAGGGTCACTTGTAAGAGAGAAATGAGGAAAGACAGTAGGGAGGAGCCTTTCAAGGTGAAGACAAGTATCAAATACTAACCACAGGACCTATCTATTCAAAACAGTGTTTGATTGGATCAGGATGTGAGCAAGTTATGTCCTAGGGCATTGTTGTAAACAGTAGATAACCACCCAGTAATTAGTGGGGCTTAACACATGGGTATGGACAGAGAGTGAGCCCTGCTAAAGACAGTGTTACCCAGGGTGACGGGGCATACCCAAGGCTGTGTCCCCTGAGAAACAGTGTCGGAAGCTTCATACTGCAGGGAGAAACAGACCTCACTAAAGTGATTCAAGTAGTCAGCTGGATTCTTTGTGGAAATTGATCATCTGGTTTTAAAATCCCTGATATTACAAGACATCCAGAATAGTGGAAGCAATCTTGATAAAGAATAAGAGAACTCACATTTTCTAATTTAAAAATGTGTTACAAAGTACTATCTTTTTCCTTTTATCAGACCTTTGGCTGTAAATTTTGATTGTTTGAGATTTTTGTTTATTGAGGTGGGATTTATTGTTATGAACTTACCTCTTAAAACTGCCTTTGCCACATCCCATCAGATTTTATGTTGTATTTCCATTTTAATTTGACTCAAGGTACTTTTGATTTCTTTTAAAAAATTTTGTCCCCTTTACTATTTTAGCCATCCCCATCTCCCTCACCTACCGTACTACCAGTCTGTTTTCGGTGTTTATGAATCTTTTTCAGTTTTGTTTGGTTTTGTTTTTTACATTTCACAAATAAGTGAGATCATATGGTATTTGTCCATGTTTGACTCATTTCACTTAGCA